TGAAGCCTCATGGTGATGAAAGAAACTTTATCTCAAGATTCCACCCTTCCCATCTCCCAAGCACAGGTAAAATACATGCCCTAAGTGGATCTGTCAATCATTCATACACATCCCTCATCCCACACCCTTTCATCAGCATTTTATAGAAAAAAAAGCAAAATACATGATTTTATGAGACATACAGTCTGTCTTTCCAAAACCAAATTGTGACCAAAGCTTTATGCAGGGTCTAGCATTGGTTCTGCTGACTTTTGTATGGAAGTCTGCTTCATCAGCAGCAGCACCTAAAATGGTCCAAAGGGCCTGATTTAGCTCAGACTCTTGCCCTCCCTACAAAAGATTCATATTGCTCTTCAGGCATCTCTCAAAGACTACCTCATAGAACGCCAACTTGCAGACATGCCACACTTTAGTTTATGACTTAATGCTGCCAGATCAGAATTTCAAAAGTAGTATATTTGATTTGTGCTCTTTCTGTGTAGCAGTACCTGATGGATAACTATCATATTCTGAAATAAGAAGACCACCTTTGAAGGAAGAGACAGCTAGGAATCCTAAATTATTCCCTGACTGACATTACAAAAAGCATTTCAAATATCCATTTTAGAATCATATTTCAAGAAATGGGCATTCAATATTTTCTCCTGGTCTGAAGGATTCCTATGGAATTTCTGACAAGGAAGGGTAAAGTACTTACAATACTTCTATTTTACAGTGATTTTGAGGTAACCTTTTAAGATCCTTACCTCCGAATCTGTGGAAGGTTCAATAACCATTCCATGCTTTTAAACTGATATTTGCGGTAATTTCTGAATCCCCAGTTTAAAACCAGTTCAGCAATCTCATTACAAGTTCAGTATATGAACCAGTTATAACACTACTTATTTGCCCATGCAAAGATTTTGTCATTTGTTATTCAACAATGGTGGTGGCTCAAGGATGTGGATAAGGTGCTTAGCCAGCTTTGTGCAACCACCTCTGCACTGGATCATTGCCCCTCCTGGCTTATAAAGCCACCGAGAAGGGAACAACCAGCTGGGCCAGGGAGGTGATTAATGCCTGATTGTGAGAGAGAGTGGTACTATGTTGGCTTAAAGAGATGGTGGTGGTAAGACCACTTCTGAAGAAACCTTCATGTAACCCCAACCCTAACCCAGGGCGAGAGGGTGGTTGCCAATCAGCTCCAGGCACTCTTGGATGAGACTTATTATCTGCATCCCTTTCATTTGAGGTTCAGGCCTGGGCTTTGCATGGAAACAGCCTTGGTCATCTTGTATGATAGCCTATGCTGGGAAAGACAGAGGGAGTGCAAACCTGTTGGGACTGCTGGGCCTCTTTCAATACCACTGACCATGGTACCCTTGTGGGGTGACTGTCTGAGCTGGGCGTACTGCATTGCAGTGCTTCTGCTCCTCCTTGGACAGTCATGTCCAGAAGGTGGTGCTTGAGGAATATTGTTCAGCTCCATGGATTCTGTAGCATGGAGTTCCTCAGGAGCATCTTCTCTTCCTCATGCGATTTAACATCTACTTGAAGCCGCTGGGTGGGATCATCTGGAATTTTGGAGTGCATTGCTATCAGCATCCTAATGACAAGCAACTCTATGTCTCCTTTTCATCGTCAGTAGGTAAGGCTGTGGAAGTGCTAAACCTGTGCCTGGCTGCAACAATGGACTGGATGAGGGCTAACAGATTGAAACACAGTTCAGACAAGACTGAGATGCTGCTGGTGTTCTGCTCCTTTGACCAGATGGAGGGTGTTCAACCTGATCTAGATGGTGTTGCCCTCCCCATAAAGGAACAAGTTAATAGCTTGGGGATGCTCCTTGATCCATCCTTGTCACTTGAGGCTCAGGTGGCCTCAATGGCTCAAAGTGCCTCCTATGAGCTGTGACAAGTACCTCAGCTATGACCCTGTCGGATAGGGATATTCTCGCTTCAGTAGTCCATGCTCTGGTAATCTCTAACTTAGATTACTGCAGTGCTGCATTCTACGTGGCTCTGCCCTTGAATATAGTTTAGAAGGTGCAGTTGGTGCAGACTGTAGCAGCCAGATTAATAACTAGAACCTGTAGATCTGAACACATAAAACTGGTTTGGGCCTGCTTGCATTGGTTGCCTGTATGCTTCTGGTCCCAATTCAAGGTGCTAGTTTTAACCTACACAGTCTTGCATGGTTTAGGACTGCAATACCTGTTCAGAGTGCCTTTCCCAACTGCAGTCTACTTGGACACTACACTCAAACTCCGGGGCCTTCCTCTGATTGCCAGCTCTGAGAGAAAAGTGGAGCCATTGTCTATTTTTAGCCGTTTAAAACTTTTTCTTGATTTCATGATGTTTTATTGCATTTGTATTGCCTGTTTCCTTTGATTTTTATAAACCACCCAGAGAACTTTGGCTGAGGGGCAGTATAGACATTAGACAGACAGACAGACAGACAGACAGACAGACAGACAGATAATGGACTCTATTTGTTATTGTTATGTGCCATCAAATCATCTCTGACTTTATGGTGACCTTATGAATGAAAACCATCCAGAATGTCCTATTCATGACATCCCGGCTAAGCTATTCTATATTCAAGGCTGTGGCTCCCTTTATGCAGTCAATCAATCTCTTATTTGGTTTTCCTTTTCTTCTTTTGTCTTTGACTCTATTTACAGACCATTTAAACTCTTGTTTTGTAAGTCTCTGACATCTTCATGTGCTACTCCAGGAAAACTGAACCTTGGCACAAGTTGCTAAGGCATAGTATGAACAGATCATATGAATGTATGAGGCTGCCTCACACAGAATCTGATTCTTTGCCTTCTCTATTGCTGCCTCACAGTGCCATCCAGCTGAGCTATTTCGAGTGGTTTGGGGTCTCTTACAATCCAGTTCTCTGGATGAGACCCCAGAGCCCTCAACAGCTTGTTGTGACAAATTTGCTCAGCGCTTTGAGGGAAAAATCACCTGGATTTATCAAGAGCTTGACTCTACCGTTTGTGCAATGCTTTGAATGTATCCAGTGCTCCATCTGATGGTCCATTACTGGATGAGTTTTGGTTATTGAGATCTGAGGATGTGGACCAGGTGCTTGGCTCTGTCTGATTCACCACATGCCCACATGACCCTTGCCACCTTGTGGAGGGGGTTTGGCCTTGGGTCCAGGAGGCTGTTAAGAGAAGAAGTGGTCTCTGCCCCATTAGAGGAGACAATACTCCTAAAAAGGCCAGGCCTGGACCCAGGGATATGTGACAACTATCAACCCATTGCTAATCTCCCTTTCCTGGGTAAGGTGTTGGAGCCAAACAGCTTCAGGAACTCTTAGAGGATATGGATTATCTGGCTCCATTTAAATCAGGCTTTTAGACCTGGGTTTGGAATGGAGACAGCCTTAGTTGCCCTGTATGATGACCTGTGCAGGGAGAGTGACAGGGAGAGTGTGACTCTGTTGATCCTGCTTGACCTCTTGGTGGCCTTCAACACCATCAACCATGGTGTCCTTCTGGACAGGTTGACTGGGGTCTGAGTAGGAGGCACCACTTTGCAGTAGTTCCACTCCTACCTGGCTGACTGGGTCCAAAAGGTAGTGCTGAGGGACAGCTGCTCTGCTCCGTGGCAGTTGCATCATGGGTACTGCAGGGCTTGATGCTGTCCCCATGCTTTTTAGCATTTATATGAAGCTGCTGGGAGAGCTCATTCAGAGGTCTGGGCATATTGCTGATGATACTCAGTTTTACCTCTCTTTTACATCTCATCCAGGTAAGACTGTCACCATCCTGAACTGGGTCCTGAGCTCGATAATGGACTGGATGAGGGTCAACAAACTGAGGCTCAATCCAGACAAAGCTGAGGTGCTCCAATCTGACAGGTTGGAGGAGCATTGCCCTGTCCTAGATGGGGTCACACTCCCCCATCTGGAGGGGACAGGGTCTATAGTCTGGAGATACTCCTGGACCCAAGTTTGTCTCTGGAATACCAGGTGAATTCAGTGTCCAGGGATGCTTTCCTCCAGCTGTGGTGGATTTATCAACTCCGCCCCTACCTGAAGACACAGCCTAAAAATAGTTACCCACACATGGGTAACGTCCAAAATAGATTATTGCAATGTGCTCTACATAGGGCTGCTCTTGAAGATGGTCCAGCAATTACAATTGGTACAGAATTGGCTCACCCAGTTAGTGACATGAACTCCCAGAGAGCCTATATTAAAAGAACTACACTGGTTACCAGTAGTTGCCTGAGCCCAGTTCAAGGTGCTTGTTTTAACATATAAAGCAGCCCTAAATGGCTTAGGCCCCGGTTTTCTTAAGGAGCGCCTGCACCCATATATGCCTACCCAGCTTTTGAGATCAATGCAGGGGGCCCTCTTGCATGAGCCATCCCTTAGGAAAGTAAGAGGGATGGCTGATAGGAAAAGGGCTTTTTCTGATGCTGCTCCTCACATTTGGAATGCTCTCCATAAGGAGATTTGCCTGGAGCCTTCCTTGTATTCCTTTTGGCACCAGGTGAAGACCTACCTTTTAAAAAAACATTTTAATATTTATTATATGACACTTGACCTCCATTTGTATTTTAAAATGATGTAATTTATATATTAGATTTTATATTTATTAATATATAGCTGTTGTTTTATTGTTTTTATAATGGTTTTTAATAGTTTGATTGTTAGCCACCCAGAGATGCCATGAAAATGTTTTAAATAAATAAATCCATTGTTCATTGACCAATTGTGCTGCTTACTTTGCCTGGCAGAGCCTCTCTAAGGTCTTAGGCAGCTGTTTGTCCCAGCTCTGCTAGGAGATGCCAGAGTGTGCGCTAGGGACAGATGTGCAAAGCACAGTAATGATCTATCAATGAGCTACAGACTCTCCCCATTTCCAATGAATCAAAGTTAGGAACAGCTGTATTGAACTATTAAAAGTCAGCGCAGACAGAACGAAGAAGTTGAACTCTAATCTTGTTAGCAATAACATGGAATCGCTAGCACCTAAGCCTCCTGCTCCTTTGCTTTACCTTTCGGACCATGGGACTTCCATCATTGATAAGCTGAGCCAGCATCATTGCAACATTGTGATCAATCGTAGTAGAATGATCAGTCCGCTCAGCTGAATTGCCTACAAAGGTTCCAAGGGCAAAGACTGCAGCACAGCGAACCTGTAAGAGAAACATAATTCACCAGTATTTTCCCAAAACCTTTCAGCACGCTCTTTGTTACATGCATGTGTAGATGCACCAAAGATGTCATGAGACAACCTTCCAATTATTTGGAAATTTCATCCAAATTAAGGTTACATCTAGTGAATAAATGCAAGCAAATGTGAGGCACATGTATTTCATAGAATCAGTAGCCTCTAGACATATAAGTTGAAAGCTAGTTAATAGGGCTGCAATGATTAATTGATTAACCAGTCAGTACAATACATTTTAAGAATCTGCATTAACTAAAATGGGGCTCCTGATTAATTGGGCAAAACATTTTAAAAAGATGATGATAGCAACCTTAACAACCATTTTATTTTGTTAACAGAATTTTAGACTGTCTTTAAGAATAATAATATAAGTATGTATAAAAACTGTAAGTAATTAGCAGCGTCTTGAAAGAGAGATTTCCCCTTTTCTTCTCACATAAAATTACCACTTTGGAATCATTGTTTTTATCCTTATACAAATTTAATCATGGGATAACTCATTTAAAACTCATACAGCTAAATAAGTGACATTTCTTTAATCAGACTGCAGCCCTACTAGTTAAGATCTAGCTGAAGTCTCCATAAGTGCTTGTGCATCAGTTGAATGCTTTCAAAAGTTGAGTGCTTATTCTGCAAAAAGAAAGTATACCTATTTATTTTAGGCAGACATATAGCATGGTAAAACTGTTCTGGGTAGTTAAGCCAAATATAGGTGGCTTCATTCTTTCTAGTGGATACCTATTTCAAAACCTAGCAGTTTACCTCTGGGATGGCATCAGACAGAAGGCTATACAGCTTTTCATGGGCACTGTCTCTCACGCCGCACCACCTTGCAGAGTCAAAATTCTGCCAGATCCGCCCCAAGCAAATAGCCACCCATTGGCGCAGAAGAGGGTGAGGATCATTCAGCTGCTCCAGGCAAATAGAAATCAAGTTCCCTTGAAGGCAGGCTTCCTACAACAAGGAACAAGGCATGACATCGAAATAAATTGCTTGCCAGTATATATTTTATATGTTGTAGTAGTTGGGTGAGGAGATGCATGGGTTAGGTCAGGAACACACACCTTTTTTACTTAAGCTTGCCCATGGGGTCAGATGTGGAGTCAGCCACCTCCTTCCTCACTTGTACTCACCTGCCCTGTATTGTAGTTGTTGACAATCACTGCCAGGATGAAAGCTGTCATTGTCCTGTGTTCAGCCTTAAGATACACAAAAGAACAGTTTTCTTTTAAATCTTTTTGAAGCTTGGAGAAAACAATAAATGTGCTTCAGGATAAAATTTTTAAAGGACAGGCAACATCATCACTGTAAAAATGTGCCTCCCTTTACACTGGTGGACCTGAAGTCTAAACTTACCATCCACATTTTATTACTTGAATGAAAACAGACCTTGAAAATTAACCAGTCCTTCACAAGTGGTGATATGGCTACCCTTTGACAGGAAATGAAATAATTCAGCTTAATGTGGATTCCAATGTGAGATTGGAAGTGCTGTTTTAAAGTTCAATGTCAGCAATAAGAAAGCAAAGTGTCTACCAATACATAACACAGAGATAGTAATGTGGCAGAGAAAATTAAAAGTCTGCTTAGTGTTTCTATCTTTTTATAAAAAATTTCTGGGAATTTTTGTTGCCTTCCTCCAAATGAGTCAAATACCTAACAATAGTGTTGGCTTGTGCTTCAGATACATTTAAAGAACTTTATAAACATTTTCCAAGGCCATTACCTTTCATATATTGTATGGGGAGACTGCAGATAATCTTGTGCTTTGTTACATTTTCCCCTTAAGTGCAAGTTGGAAAAAAATGTAGAGAAGAGACCAATACCCCAGGGATGCATGCAAGCAATTGCTGTGTATTGAAAAAAAAGCAGCATCCTTATTGTAAGAACTTTTCTCAACAGACAAATACTTTGTCTATACAATTGCTTTTGTGCATGGAACAAGTAGTTATATAAGCCCCAACAATAATCATTCAGTCCATTTAGGTTTAGGATGATTGCATGCACAAGATGAATGCAATGTTGAATACTGTATTTTTCGCTCTATATGACGCACTTTTTCCCCCCTCAAAAGTAAAGGGAAATGTCTGTGCGTCTTATAAAGTGAATGTGTGTATGCCCGATGCCCGGGACGCTGCCGGCCCGCCTGCACCATGTGGCACCACCTGGCCGGCACACGCTCGGCACGCGCTGCTCCGCCCGCCCCCCCAGCGCAGCTGAGAGCTGTGCCGCTCAGGGGGAGCGGTGCGGAGGAGGAGGAGTCGGGGGCTTTAACCCGCCAGCCACACGGAGATGGACTGCTCACCCCCACCGCCCGGGCAGACCTGCCGCAGAGGAGGAGGAGCCGCGGGCTTTAACCCACCGGCCGCACAGACAGTCAGATTGCTCACCCTCACCGCCCGGGAAGACCACACCTGGCCGGCATGCGCTTGGCACGCCCTGCTCCACCCCCCTCCTCCGGCGCAGGTGAGAGCTGTTAATCACAGGTCAGTGTGTGTTTTCAAATGGCAACCCGTCTTTTAATGAAGCCCATGGGGAAGTGATGGGGAATGTGCCTGTGATTATCAGGAAGCTTTCCATGGATCCCTCCTCTAAAAACTAGGTGCATCTTATGGTCAGGTGCGTCTTATAGAGTGAAAAATGGGCGGGTGCAAAACACTTCAGTTACCAAAAATAATTAAGATCCTTCATTCCTGCTTTATGGCTTATCCAGTATACTGCACTGGTCTGAACAGTGCCACAAGAGCATAATATGTACCTATCAGTTCAGACCAGAAGCACACCATTCCATTCTCAGTAGTGAACAACCAGATACCTTGAAGAAGTCTAAAACCAGAGCATGAGGATAACAGCTGGGTTCACATGTCACAACAAGCAATTCTGCATGGTCTCCATAGTGTATGGTTTCTTCCATAGATGTGCTTGAAAGATGATCAGGCTCATCATAGTAACTCTCTTCCTGTCCACCATTTTCTTTCTTCTCAGTTCTCTGGGGGGTATCCCAGGAGACTCCTGACTTTGCCAACCATTTAGCTCACTATGGCTGTTAAGCAGTCTCTGCTGCACAAACAGAGCTCATGCCCTGAAGCACAACAAAGAGGACAAGGAACTGGTCAGGCACCCTTACTTCTGAGTCCAGAGAGGTCAACCAGGAGAGGGGTGTCTGATCAATGCTGAAGCAAAGCGGGGGGGGGGGGATCATCTGCCCCTTCTGTGCATTGCTATCAGGGTAAGAAGCAGCTGAGTGGTGATGTTCAACTTGGGGCTGTACTCCACAGCAGATTCCCCTGCTGCTCCCTAGCTGCTTCTTGCTCCTGCTGCTGGTTCATTGGTGGGTTGGGGATGCCACTCAGGCAAGCCAGAGCAAGAAAGGGGAGTGGCAGGGAATCCCTCAACCAAGCACCACTACTACCACCCAGCTGCTTCTTGCTGTACTGCTCATGTCAGAGCATTGCACAAGGGAACCCACCGTAGTGCATAGTCCTCAACCACCACTGCCCAATTGCTTCTCACCCTGCTGTTGGCTTGTTTGTGCATGGGAGATTTGCTTTGTTGTGTGCAGAAGGGGTAGAGAGGGAATCAATTCAGCAATGCTGCCCCTCCCTACAATGTTGCTCAGTGGAATTTTCCCCCTGCCACTGGCTTGCAAGGAGTAGCACAAGGAACTTTTCTGTCATGAGTGAGGAAGCAGTATGGGGTAATCTGCTGCAGTGTGCAAATCCCAAATGGACACCACTGCTCAGTGAATTCTTGCCACTCCTGCTCATGTGGCAGCTGGTTCATAGTGGGGGAATCAGCTGAACAATGCTGCTCTTTTCCCAGAGCTGACTAGCTGGTCACCCTCTCCTGCCTCAAAAATCTTTAAAACGGAAGGATGAGAGGAGTAGGGCTGCCTCTGATAGTTGCATCAAATAGCATCTGTCAATGACACTCTCTTGTGTCTTGCCTAGCAACTCTATGGTTCTGGCCTTGGTAACACAATGAATCCCCTTCATGGATCACTGCCTTGTCATGGCGAAGGGGCTTGTGTAGCACAATGAAGCTATGAGCTATGCCGTGCAGGGGCACCCAAGATGGTCAGGTCATAGCAGAGAGCTCTCACAAAACGTGATCCACTGGAGAAGGAAATGGCAACCCACTCCAGTATCCTTGCCATGATAACCCCATGGACAGAAGCATAGAGATAAAATATATGACACTGGAAGATGAGCCCCTCAGGTCGAAAGGTATCCAGTGTGCTACTGGGGAAGAGCAAAGGGCTAGTACTAGTAGTGCCAGAAAGAATGAAGCGACTGGATCAAAGCCGAAAGGACACTCAGTTGTGGATGTATCTGGTGGTGAAAGGAAAGTCTGATGCTGTAAAGAACATTATTTCATAGAACCTGGAATGTAAGATTTATGAATCAAGGTAAGCTGGATGTGGTCAAACCTGAGATGACAAGACTGAACATTGACATCTTAGGAATCAGCAAACTAAAATGGACAGGAATAGGTTAATTTATTTCATATGACCATCAGGTATACTACTGTGGACATGAATTCCTCAGAAGGAATGGAGTAACCTTCATAGTCAATAAAAGAGTAGGAAAAGCAGTTGTTGTTGTTATTAGTCGCGAAGTCATGTCCGACCCATCGCGACCCCATGGACAACATTCCTCCAGGCCTTCCTGTCCTCCACCATCCCCCGGGGTCCACTTAGGCTCACACCAACTGCTTCAGTGACTCCATCTAGCCACCTCATTCTCTGCCGTCCCCTTCTTCTTTTGCCATCAACTGTTCCCAGAATTGGCCATCACCATATGGTCAACACAGAAATCAGACTGACTATGCTCTGCAGCCAAAGATGGAGAAGCTCTATACAGTCAGTAAAAACAAGACCAGGAGCTGACTGTGGCTCAGAGCATGAGCTTCTTGTTGCAAAATTTAGGCTTAAATTGAAGAAAGTAGAGAAAAGCACTAGGCTACTCAGGTATGACCTAAATCATATTCCTGATGAATATACAGTAGAGGTAACAAATAGATTTAAGGAATTAGATCCGATAGACATGAGTGCCTGAAGAACTATGGACAGGGGTTTGCAACATTGTACAAGAGGTAGCAACTAAAACCATCCCAAAGAAAAAGAAATGCAAGAAAGCAAAATGGCTGTCTGAGGAAGCTTTACAAATAGCTGAGGAAAGAAGGGAAGCGAAAGGCAAGGGAGAAAGATACACCCAATTGATTACAGATTTCCAGAGAATAGCTAGAAGAGATAAGAAGGCCTTCTTCAATGAACAGTGTAAAGAAATAGAAGAAAGCAATAGAATAGGGAGGACCAGAGATCTCTTCAAGAAAATTGGAGATATGAAGGGAATGTTTCATGCAAAGATGGACATGATAAAGAACAAAAATGGCAGGGACCTAACAGAGGCAGAGCAGATTAAGAAGAAGTGGCAAGAGTACACAGAAGAACTGTACAAGAAAGATCTAAACATCCCTGATAACATAGAAACATAGAAGCAGAGCGAGTCAGAAGGGGCCTCCTGGGCCATCAGGTCTGACCTCTGGCACTAGCCGGCTCCGCTCATGACATGCCCACCATGTGCATGTCCAGCCTATCTTTGAACACCCGCACCAATGGGGCCTCAACGACCTCTCGTGGAAGCCCATTCCACACCCTCGGGGTCCTAACTGTCAGGAAATGCTTCCTGGCATCTAAATGGAACCTTGGTTCCCTGAGCTTTGCTCCATTGGAGCGCGTCCTCTGCAATGGTTATGTCCATAACCATGATGGGGTGGTCGCTGACCTTGAGCCAGACATCCTGGAATGTGAAGTCAAGTGGACCTTAGGAAGTCTTAGCAACAACAAAGTAGTGGAGGCGACAGTATTCTAGCTGAGCTATTCAAAATCCTAAAAGACAATGCAGTTAAAGTGCTACACTCAATATGGCAACAAATTTGGAAAACTCAACAGTGGCCACAGGATTGGAAAAGGTCAGTTTATATTCCAATTCTAAAGAAAGGCAATGCCAAAGAATGCTCAAACTACCGCACGATTGCACTCATTTCACATGCTAGCAAAGTTATGCTCAAAATCCTACAAGCTAAGCTCTAGCACAATGTGGACCGAGAACTACCAGAAGTACAGGCAGGGTTTCAAAGAGGCAGAGGAACTAGAGATCAAATTGCCAACATATGCTGGATCATGGAGAAAGCTAGGACGTTCCAGAAAAAACATCTACTTCAGTTTCATTGACTATGCTAAAGCCTTTGATTGTGAGGATCACAACAAGTTGTGGCAAGTTCTTAAAGAGGTGAGAGTGCCAGACCATCTTATTTGTCTCTTGAGAAACCTGTATGTGGGTCAAGAAGCAACAGTGAGAACTAGACTTTCCCAATTGGTTCAAAATTGGGAAAGAAGCATGGCAAGGCTGCGTACTGTTGCCCTGCCTATTTAACTTATACAAGGTGAGACACAGAAATAACCAGATTGCGCTTAGGGTTTTCCTGGAAAATTGTCTGGAGGTCAGCTAGATGTATATCACAGAACTATATCTCCTCCTACACGTCCTCTCAAACCACCAACTGGCTAGGTATATCCTATCAATAGCCTGGTCAGTATTTGAACTACACTCACTACACATGTTGCCATGATAATGTTGGGGGAAGAAATCACCAAGACAACACTCCCGTGCATAATGCTTTTTCCATAAAGCAGTTTTTGAGTGGAAAAAACATTCCTGTCCTCCATCATCCTCCTTATTCACCCGATTTAGCTCCCTGTGATGTTTATTTATTCCCGAAAATTAAAAGTGACCTGAAGGGAATACATTTTGCATCAATGGATGAAGTGATGACAAAAACGGCAAGTCTGCTGAAGAGCCTCACACAAGAAGACTTCCAGCACTGTTTCAATCAATGGAAAATATGTATGGAGCAGTGTAGTGATTGGGAGGGGGGTATATAGAAGGTGACAATGTTCAGAATGCTGTAATTCATCAATATATATGTTTTTATTACTAATCCGGTTATTTTTCTGTCACATCTCGTATGCAGAGCACATCATGCGAAAGGCAGGGCTAGATGAATCACAAGTTGGAATTAAGATTACCGGGAGAAATATCAACAACCTCACATATGCAGATGATACCACTCTAATGGCAGAAAGTGAAGAGGAAGTAAAGAGCTTCTTGATGCGGGTGAAAGAGGAGAGTGCAAAAGTTGGCTTGAAACTCAACATTAAAGAAAACTAAGATCATGGCATCTGGTCCTATCACTTCCTGGCAAATAGATGGGGAAGAAATGGAGGTAGTGACAGATTTCAGGCCAAGTACTGAAGAGGAAACTCAAATATTTTGGCCACCTAATGAGAAGGACGGACTCACTGGAGAAGACCCTAATTCTGGGAACAGTTGACGGCAAAAGAAGAAGGGGACGACAGAGGATAAGGTGGCTCAATGGAGTCACTGAAGCAGTCAGTGTGAGCTTAGGTGGACTCTGGGGGATGGTGGAGGACAGGAGAGCCTGGAGGAATGTTGTCCATGGGGTCACAATGAGTTTGGCATGACTTTGTGTATAACATAACAAAAAACAACTAATTATGTTTTCTGCTTCAAATGACACACAAGCAATTGTGATCCCAAGAAACCATAGAAGAGACTGTTGTTTCTGTTGGTGGTTTCTAAAAGCCAAATATTCCAAGCTGAAATACCATGATGGGTTTGGATGACATGACAAACCAACAAAGATGAAAAAAACCCCCAGACTTTTACTTATTATGTCGTGTGAATCCACCCAATATCTCTCCCCCAACCCTGTGATTGGTATTCAGTGGCACACTGCCAGAGACATGGAGGTACTATTTATCCAGCATTGATAAACCATGAATCTACTTAATCTCCTTTTAAAGTGACCTAATGTAGTGGCATGACCATGTTGTACGGCTGCAAATTCCATATATTAATCACATATGTTTGAAGATGCACCTTCTTTTGTCTACCTTGAGTTACTGCCCATCAATTTCAATCCTTTAAGAGAGATGAAGAACTTTCTTTGTTCATGTTATTGCACAAGAGAACATTAAGCATGTTACTACTACATTATAACAATTTAGCACCATCTACAAAATCAACATAAGTGCAGTATATCAACCAAGATAAAGCATGCAAATTCTAAAAATAGGGAAAGGGTAGTGGAAGAGTGATTGTTGACCTTACCGGCATATAGGGGTCTGCCAAAACAGAAAGGAAATATTTGTGACCGTTGTCCTTCACAAGATCGGCCTGACATGACTGAAAAGTAAGGAGGGGGAGGGATCAGGGGAGAGAAAACAATGAGTACAATAACCTGAGAATAATTCAGATAATTTATGAGTATTTCATGTGACAGTAACTTTTTTCTCCTTCAAACCCAATTTTCAAATGATTTGAGAAACAAAGTCAAAGCAGGCTTTTTTCACCAGGATACTGGCCAAAAACCATGGTCAAGATTTTTATTACTGGAAGCACAAGGCAGCTGCTGCAAGTTCAGAGAGCCCAAGGCTCTCTGGTAAGATTCCACAAGCTCTTCATTTAGTTTTTCAACCTGGTACATTTGGAAAGCTGTTGGTAGTAATTATCAACAAGCATGACTGCAGAGAACAGTTCAGCTCTAGCTCAGCCTAGGCAGTCTACAGGGAGTACAGCCATATGTAGGCCAGGTGTAGAAAAAAACAAACCACAGTCCACACTCAAGATCTATATTTCTTCTCTAATTGATAAACACTCAGGGTCCTTCCATTTTTTTCTCCTGTGACTTTTATGCTGCTAAAGACAGAAAGCCATGGGAAGAAAGAGAGCATGAATTTAACAATAGACATGCTTTTCCCTTTCAGAAGCTACCTTGGGAACCAGGTGGCTCATTTGGCACTGGCATTCTTTTCTGTTCTTTGTGAAAGATGGGACAATTCAATATGAATAACTCAGAAGGCACTGCTTGAAAGTACACAGTCTCAAGCCTAAATTATGCGTGCACTTCAGTGTTATGCAGATGCTGATAATGCTTCCCTCGAACATATTTCACAGCAAAATAGAAATCTTTTACATTTTCTGGTCTAAACTCTTAAGAAACCAACATAAAGATACAATTATTGCATGGCTGCAGTTATGCCATGAATTAGATAAAACTGGTTTCTAAAAGATTTCTAGTCATTACAGAACTAAGTCTTAAAGGCTGGTAGCAGTGGTTGCTAAATCTCTAAAAGCAGAAAGTGCCTACCCTATCTTTACTAATTGCCCTCCAATATCTACTAAGTCTCATTTCTACTGGACTTCCTACAAGTAGGAGAACACACTAATCCATTCTGCACTGGTTGCTTGCAAAAGAACCCACAGTGCTCCCTTTCAGTCCTCTTACCCATGTCAGCATGTATCTGAGGGAACTCTGCAGCAGAATCTCATCCCAGCCCCCTCCCCACTCTCATCACTAGCCCCTGTTGGAGCACCTACTTCATTCTCCAGAAAACATGCTGTCTGTGGAAGATAAATTTGCACAATACCCACAACTGCTTTGGAAAGGAATCCCAAAATGTCAGGAAGCCAATGATTCTCTTTTCTGGACTGGCTGGAAACTTGGAGAAAGTCTGAATGAGGGGGAGAACACTGACAAATATTTGGAGGATTACATTGCCAAGTGAGAGATGGTACCCCAGTTTGGTTCTCAAGGAAATCTATATCCCTGTACACTTGTGAAAGAACAGGAGAATTAAAAAAGACTCCATTTGCATGCTCCTAAAGCAGTGAAAAAGGAACTAAAGAGAGTAGTGAACAAGTGGCAGTCCCCCCAAAGTGCCTTTTGGGCATCGGTGGAGGGGCAGTCACCAATGAGGGAGGTTGTTGGTGCTTAAGCAAGACTGTGAGAAGTGGCAGGGATTTTTGTTGCTGTGGCTGACTGGCCTGCTAGCTGTTCTTTGCAACGCACAATGAAATTGTCCTCCCATGTTTGAGCAGCACAAGTCACCATGGTTATCAACAACCCTAAGATAGGCTGTAGGTTCTCAGGGTGGCTTGTTCATTAAATATTGGCCACCCTGCAGAAACTCCCCTGAGTTTGGACAATAAGACAAGCCACTATGCTGATCAAAAGTGGCCTTTTTGCAGCTACATAGCATTGCTGGCTCATATTTAGCTTGTTCTGCAGATTCCGGGTGGCTGCCAAAGCCTGGTTTGTTCCCATCTAGGGACCATTTCATAGGAACAAGCAGCCAGTCAGCCAGAGGACACTTAAATTTGTTCTCTGTGATGGCTACTGAAGCAGCTTCCTATACAAATCAAGCAATTTTTCTTCAATATACCATGCTATAGCACAAAGAAAACAGCAGCATGAAGATGGTAACCTGCAGCATGTGTGAATGACTTGCCACATGGGAAAGACATGACAGTGACTAACTTATAGCAACCTCCATATTGCCTTGTTCATGCACACTAACCACAGATCAGTTCATATCGTAAGGGGTGAAAGAACATTGCCTGTTCATATTTATATGAAAGACTAAAGTAACAATTGGTGAAAAGGAGAGAAATGAAGAACATTAAATTCACTTTCAACTCTCTCTGTGGCAGTGAATTCTGTTTGTCTCTACTTAGAGGGATGAAGCCTACATTTTTAAATGCATGACAAGGAAACAAATTAGGGTGGCACTCTGCTGCCTGCAGTGGATTTCAATGACTTGCATTATCAGGGCAGGGACAGGCTAAGTTCCTCCTCTGATGGTGTCCCTGAGCACACCCCTTTACTTTCTTCAGCATGAAGTAAATTCTTGGACTCACTCAAAAGACTACTTGGGGTCGCTGCTTCCTACCTCTGTCACCCACTGGCTGCCAGTGCTCATTCTCAGGTGTTTTGAAAAAGAGAAGCACTAGAAATTTACAAGCTCTTACCACATGCACTCTACCTGTCATTTTCCTAGTTACTAATAATAAGGATGGGACACAGTCAAGCTCTTTGGATACAGAAGAATTCCCTTTGAAAGTGAGCTTTCCCCACATTTCACATAGGATGCCAATTAAATGAGAATCAGGCTGCCTGGCTTTGCTAATAATTCTCATCAGCAATTGCTTCCTGAGATGTCCTGTAGTAGCAACCCAGCATAAGGTTTGGGGATGACATATTAAGGCCAGAAAAGAGGATGAATGAATACATGCATACATATATTTATATGAAAGACTAAAGTAACACTTGGTGGAAAGGAGAGAAATGAAGACCATTAAATTCACTTTGAACTCTCTTTGTGGCAGTGAATTCTGAAGCAGAGGGTGGATGGGAGAGAACAGTAATGCATTTTTAATCAGGAATAAAGAATGGAGAGAAATAGGGTCTAATTGCCAAAAGGAGGAGGCTGGAAAGACAAAGGTGCAAGGTAGTATTACATTGTTCAGGCTGTCAGACTGTGGAGGCTTCACTCTTGTTTTGGGGTGGAGAAGGCCTTGCTGCTTTTAAGGGCTATTTTGGATCTTCATTAATATTGCTGTCAATTAGGTCACATGTGTACAGAAACTGGCTACTATTCTGATTCAAACAGTATTCTATCATCTGAGAGAAGCAGACTCTGCACTGGAAGATCATGGTAATACATGGATTATCAATCTGTATCCTCTATATAATACCTGTGAGGATTATTTAATGTACAGTTTCCATAGCATCTCTCTCTTTCAAAGTGGCACATCGCAGTCACAACAGAATGTTAGCAAGCTTGAGGAAGAGGATCCCTACTCCAGCTCAAGTATAAGATGCTAGGTGAAAATCACGACTTGCTCCAAAATACGTTTGGAAATTTTTATTGGTCACAAGACCTTACTGTCTCCAATAAGTTTTGCAAAATTGCATATTTATGTGGTACTTACTAAGTAACATATTTATGGGAAGTCACAGTGTTTCCATTGAAACTGCCAATATTGAAACATGTATTGCCTTCAGTTTTTTGTCCAACTCATTTCTCCTCCATTCTTCAGTTGGCTCTGGCACACATCCTTGGGGACTCCATAACAGAGCCCATCGTGTCTCATTGTGCCAGTCCCCTCCCCACTCTGATCAGTGCCCTTTCTCTTTTCTTTGGGGGGGGGGGGACTTCAGAGAGTGCACTTGGGGTCATGGTTTGTTGGTCTTTTTAAGAGCAAAAGTTCAAGTTTCTCATATGTATAGATTTTCTGGTCAATTTTCTTGCTGTCAGAGGGAGCAGCAAAGTGAAGAGAGTAACATACAAAGCAATTGACAAAGCTATTGACTGTCTATAGAACAATTTGCACACAATTGCAAAAGACTGGGGGAGAATTAATAGTAAGGGAAAGAAGGAACTCTGTAAAGCAAGTCAGAAGCTCCAAGAATTGGGGAGGGGAAGCCAAAGGAGTAAGTAGAGGGAGCAGTTATCTCTACCTTGCTTTAGTATTGAAAGTCTCCCAAACTTTAGAAACATCACAAGTCAAAAGGGGTCCTCTCAGGCCATCTAGTTTGACCCCCAACTCTAGCCAGCTCTGCTCATGTAATACACAACACTTCCCTCAGTCTCCAGCTGTTCCAAAAAGGAGAGATATTGATTCCCCCCTACCACTTTTCATAGCTCATTTTTGGAGCAGTTATTGCTGCAATTACTTGCAGTTCCCCGACAGGTTATTTAGTAGTGTTAACAATTCTGCATTATAGTTCTGTTTCAAATCCACACCACGTTTGTATAACACAGCCTTGTTCATTCTGATGCCCTTCAGATATTTTGCACTGACTCATCAGCCCCAGCTAGCATGGTCAGGAAGGCTGAGAATTGTAGTCTAAAACACCCAGAGGGCATTAAGCTGGGTAAGGCTGTTACAGCACTTTCTATCAGTTCAGTGTCTGTTGGTAATTCTTCCAACAACCGTGTAAAGCAAGACAGCATTATTATCCCACATAAGTCCGACAACAGGACTAAGAGAAGCTGACCTACAATCCTGGGAGCTCGCATCAAAGGTGAACTTCGAACCAAGTATTTTCCAGTTCAGTTTAGTCTCTAAGCCACTAAACTAGCAAGTTAAGTACGTAAGCACTGGACTAAACACGTAGATGCTCCCCTCCCCTTTCTACTTTCTTTTTCTTCTGCTGCACTATTCAACAGATGTGATTTACCGCAACGGAACAATTAATCACTACATCTCTCCTTCAGTTAATTCAATGAGCAACAGCTTCTCATGATCACCTACAGCAGCTGGGATAATACTTTCGCTTAGATTCACAGGACATTCCCCTGCAATAATCATTCTCTAACATAAATCACACAAACCACTAG